TTTCCTCAAAGCTAAATTTATTCTAAAATAGCAGAAGAGGATCGAGACTCAAAACAGCCTTTCTGGGTCATTTCGTAAACTTCACTGGTTGGTGGAGCAGGTAGGTTAGCACAAGGAGATTAAGGAGAATTCCATTAAATAGATTAATATATATTTTATATCTTAATGTTTTATGGATATACTACTAATAACTCATTATTATGTCCTTAAATCCATATAGGATTATTACAAGAGCCCTGGTTACGAGACTAAACGGAATCCGTTTGAATCTTTTTGTTGTCATTTCAGAAGGATACATCAAGGCGGATAAATGCTGCTATTGACCGCAAAGAATACGACCTCTGAACGACCTTGGATCGTGCTTTGCCACAGACTAGTAGTATATCACGGAAACTCAAAGATTGCGGGCTTTCCAAATAGGGCTCGGCATCAATCCCAAAGCATAGTCAGGAGTGTAATCGCAAAGTTTAATTTTTATCCATATTGTGACTTGTTTATTTTAAAAATGTGAGTCCAGTCGGCTAATTTGATAATAAAAATCCTATAATTTGGCTTAGTTTCCTGTTGGGACATAATGGCGTGTCGCCATGTGGCTGACGATCCGGATTAGAATCCATTTTGGTACACTTATGAGGCCTAGGTGATGTCGAAATCAAAGTCCACTCTGTATGATAGAATCTTTTGGGAGGCACGACTAAGTGAGATTTAATTGAATCATAAGACCTACTCATATCCTTGTAGAAAAGATTCCGCTATTGGCCTCTAAATCCCCTTAAGCGACCTAGAGTGGCTTATTTGTTTTAATTCTCGAGTAATCTACACTGGATGAAATGTTTAAGCCCTAGTAGAGGAGCGTAATAATTATTTTATCGTCATTCTTTATTAATTTCTAACTAATATGCCCACGCTTTTGCGGAAAAAAGCAAAATATAAACAAATTTAGAGTCTACGGAAATGCTATTTGGTGTTGAATTGCCGAAGAGTTATCAAAAAGATTCGCTTTTATAGGCCACGGCTTTCTGCTTGCAGGTCCTCCGGTAAGTAAACAGGATTGATGACAAATACATGCTTCTTTCTCAGCCGTCAAAAGATATAATGTCACACTTACCCATTGTCTTAAAGAAAAGAAGATACAAGATGATACACATACCCCTTCCCCCGAGGAACGAAGCTTGAGATCTGACCATCCGTGCGAAATGCGGTCCCGGGACCCGAGGCAAGCTGCATCATTAGTGAGGCGGTTGCCGGCGAGACGCGACTTTGGTCTGCATTGGGTTGCAGCTTCCGGGGAACGGGACTCAAATTCGGTTTCGTTAAGGCGTCCCTGGAGCTAGTCGTTGGCAGATCCTGCAACAGTCCAGCAACCAGATCATCCAGCTTTATGTAACCAGAGTCAGAAGAATCGATCCATGCGAACAAATCGTTCAGTTCCTTTTCGGGGTGGATTACAAATAAAAAGAGCTTTTAAAGCACTCTATTATGTTGTAATTGAAATACGGGTACAGACGGTTCCAGAACCTTTATCATTATTATTGGCAAGTATAACCTTGTCTGATGGCTTCATTAATTTACTTTATACAAGATTCAGCCAAGGTAAATTACGAAAAATACTTGCCTCTGATTTATGATCCACATATTTGGTTTGTGCTACGAGAAAAACTTCCTTCTAAATTAGCGGTAGCCTTTAAATAATAATACGAGTTTCCTAAAATGATCTAGGACTGATATCTGAATTTCTTACATTTAACGAGTAGACGGCCTCATGAAGCCATAAAATTACAATTATTCTTGCCTCCTAAAAGGCATCTTTATCCAATGCACACTTCTATTGTGAAGATGTTGTCGATGACAGTAGTTGCATTATACTTTTACTTCAAGATCAACGGACGCTTAGTAAGCCTAGCTGTTTGGTATATAGTAATATCCTCTAATCCAATGGAAAATATATAGTGGACTTATAGACAACAGTTCATCCATAAAAATGTGAATTGGGAAAGCCTAGGCGTGTTAAGGAATTCACATCTGCTCTGTGATTAACTGGGTCCCGTGTCAGTGTGGCAAATTAGTTTTAGTGGCAAATCATACGCACGATCTGGATTCGAATCCATTAATTAGATTATTCGTTTCATTACATTTGTTTCCTACTGGCGCCTGGGAAAGCCGCTGTCCTAGTGGGATTTTAATGCAATTTGACCTGAAAAGGCTCCATCACTGACCAAGGAGAGTATTCCCATCTTAGGAGCACTCTAATGTGCGTTGCCGCCAACATCTTTCTTTGCAAGTTGAGTACAATCGTCTCAGCATTTATGAATGATGTTATGTTTGACTCCTTTAAAATGATCTTCTCATACACAACTTAAACTTTGACAAAAGTTACTTTGTAACTTGTTTTTCGAATTAAAAATTTGCTTTCGTGACTACCAGTAAATCAGTAATATGAGATGTATTCACCCAATTTCGTTTAAGGTGATGAAGTACTGGTAGAAGAAGAATTTTCCCACAATGATATGAGTTGAGCTGACGTTTTGATTGAATTTCACATAGCCTTGCTTTCCCAAAAGTTGTTCTCATCCAGG